CTACTTCCTCAGACGGCTGAGACGAGCTGGTCTGGAAGCTCAGTCCTCACCTCCTCCTACAGGTGTGCAGTGGAGAGCATCCTGTGCTCCAGCATCAATGTGTGGCATGGTGTGAGAGTACCATCTGCTGCAGCTTTGCTCTCCAAGATGGCCGCCAATCAGCACCACCTGATGGTCAACTACCTAATGAGGTCCTCCTCTACTTAAGGCTGCAGTCAGATGTTACTCGTCGCCGGCACATTAGCCACTGATGGTATACTTTGTCTCTGGTCTAAGATTGTATCTCGTGTTAAGATACTCAAACCTTCTCTTGTGATTTCAACTTACCTTTCTCCTCGGATCCTGTTGTGCCTTGGTCTACCTCTGATCCTACTCCTCAGTTCCTGTCGTGCCTTGGTTCTCCTTCAGTCCCTCTCCTGGTTCCTCGTGCCTTGCCTTCCAGCCACATGCCTGTTCACCTTCTTCTCTGGAGCCTGCTTTGGATAACCTTTGGCCATCCTCCAACCTGTAAGACAAAACTACTGGATCAATATATTCATCTCCAAATCCTCCAACCAGAGCCTCCTGACCCTCTCCTTCCTCCTCAGGGCTCGAGTTGATCTGCTGGCAATTTACCCTCACTGTACATAACTAAACATTGTTATTTTGTATCCTTGAGTCTTGCCTCCTTTTCCTGGTCTCATTCCATTCTATGTTCCTTGAGTCGTAACAAATGGAGGCTGCACAGCTTCAGAAAGAAAAGTTTTGCAGAGAGTGGTGAAGGCTGCACAGAAGATGTTGGAGTCAGTCTCCCCACCATCACAGACATTTACACCTCCAGATGCAGGAAGAGGGCCACCTGCATCATGAAGGACCTCACTCACCCAGCACACACACTTTTTGACCCGCTCCCCTCAGGAAGGAGGTTGAGGAGTATTAAGTGTAGAACCACTAGACTGAGGAACAGCTTCTACCGTGAGGCTGTTAGACTCATGAATCTCTAACCAGAATAACCACTATGAAAAAAAATCACATCATGTTATTGCTGATCTGTTTCATGTTACTGCTGATCTGTTTCATGTTGCTTCTGATCTGTTTCATGTTGCTGCTGATCTGTTTTATGTTGCTGCTAAACTGTTTCATGTTACTGCTGATCTGTTTCATGTTGCTGCTGATCTGTTTCATGTT